TCTAATATGTACAATGTCTGCCCCAGCAATTGGGACTTCCTAGCTCAACATCTTAGGGGTTACTAGATAGAGTTATGGGTCTGTGGGGACACTGGTGTAGTGCGATCCGGTCGGATTGCATCTGTAGCTTTCTTACCCTTCTCAGCAAAAAGTACCTTTAGCTGTCCTTGTCTATGGGCTAGGCTCTGGTTTGGAGTGGAAAGGAACTTATTCAAGTGTTTTGCTACCAGACGTCGACTCCGATCACTGGGATTCTACAGTTGTGAATCCCAGTGATCGGGGTTGACGACACCACGTTTACCACAGCGACGTTTGCAGGTTCCCCTTACTAGTGTTAAAAGTCGAGAGTTTGGCCCATCCGTCACGGTAGTATGTAGTGACCTGTGTTTCATAGCGACTAGAACTCTGATGACGAAAATGTTCACTCAGAAATCCGTCAAAGCAGTAAAGCGGGTGCCGAAGTCAGTCTGAACATCTGTTTCGTGATCAGCTACGCCCTCGCAGAACATCTGTGCGACGCTCTAGGAATTCGAAGACCATGTTATTTTCACCGGGCTAACATATCCTTTGCTTTTCATTTCATAAATGATGGCCTTATTCTTCCGTCCAGTTAGTCATCTATGGATTTTCCAATTAATATTCTGTCCTTTTCTCAATTTTTTTTTCAATGTGGAAAGCGTACGTGTTGTAGAGAGGTTTACATTATTATTCAAAAGCGAAATCACTTGCCCAGCTGAGCTTCACATCCCCATGACATCCAAAAGTTGACTATAGACTGAATCAAAGGTTCCAACTTTGGTAGGGAACGAACTTTTGAGCCATCGCGCTCAACCACCTATGTTGTAAAGTTGGGATAAGTAGTAAACTGCGTGAGACATCCCAACAGGAATGCTAGGGGCTTTTATGCATTTCAAACATGTTATATTAACGTCAGTAAAACACGGAGTTCACTGAGTAGGCTCTGTATAGTTTCCAGCGATACAGAAGAGAGTTCGAAGACATGGCTCATCCAGAGCATGGTTCTTTCAGTGTACCTAAGGTTTCAAGGTGATCATTCCCGTTGTAAGATGGTACAGTGCATTCACCTTCCCTTCAAAGTCGAAGAAGAAATTGAATGGGTGTTTGATTTCCCAATCGAAATAACCTCTCAGAAGCCTCCTGTACCAATTACTTTCCTATAGATAGAAGAGGGAGCTCTGGATCACTGCCAATTCAACAATCAAATCTGTCACCGTGTGGGTGGTATCGGGTCTTCCAAATAATTCCCATTTTTTTGAAGAATATTTTATAGTGATGAGTAAAACTTTCTTGAGAACGAGAAACACGTGTTTGTACTAATAAATGAATAACTCAAATAAATTATTCAACATTCTCACTTTGAATTTAGTTTAATTGCCACAATTACCGTACCCGAGAACTAATTACTTACTTTCGGGGCAGTAATACTGCTATTTGTCTAATTTATTAGTACACCACCCTCATTTCATTACTCTAATGCATGTTTGAAATTCATCAAAGTTGTAATAATAAATGCATAGGACGACGAGCTGATGACCATCAATCAGCCACCTGACTAGTTTACTTATTTTTTTAATGTCGTAAAAAATATATTGTCAAATTGAAAGCCAAAAAAAATTTCCCAGGTGACTGGAGGTATGTAGAATCTCCAAGTCAGAAAGTGAAAAAAAATCGTCATTAGTAAATAATTTAACACAATTGTAATATTGCTGCCAGCGGTAGACCGTCTTAGGATGCGCCACGCATTCCAACTTTGGTCAAAATCATAAGGAAGGAGCATAAGCTGTTGGAAGCTTTGCTAATAAAGGCATTTTCCACTCCCCCTCTCCCCCACTCCTTCCCTCCTCCACTCTCCCTCCTAATTTTATTACTCAGATTGGGCAGTTCAATTCTACCACTATCAGTCTCCCAGTCAATGGCTTTCTTGCAGGATTCCCATAGTGTACGTAGTGTCGCCTCCGTCCCTTTTTGGATGGGATTATATTTTTTTCTCGAAAATGGCTTATGAGCTGAATATGGTCTTTCTTTTGATGTGGGCCCCTAATCGTGAAAACGACATTGGTAATGACCTGGTAATAAAAAATACTTTTTATCTTAGTATCTAGAAAGTTTCTATTACTAGCTTTTACAGATGGCCTCCTTGTTTTCCACAGCTTCGTCTGATACATTGGCAACATTTGAAGAATTACTTCATAATTCTTCAACGCACATCTTCTCTCCGCCCACAAAGCCCCATAGTCTTGCTCCGCCCCTACAAGAAAAGTAGTTAAGGGATATCTGCAGTAAGACAAGTCCCTGGCCCTACGTTCTTGCGGTTAGGGCCATATCATTGACCTTCACTTTTGGCCCACTTAGGTCTTTACAGTATTATTGCTAAAGTGGGTATAACTGATAATTGGTAAAGCAGAATTAAATTTTAAATCCGGGATGGATTTGTGGTTTCTTCATTTTTTCGTCAATGACATCTTACTGGGGACCTGCCGCTAGCTGCGAAATATCCTTCTAAAATAGTAATTTACTTCTACACCCACCTTTTTGACTGAGGTCCTGGTTCCCAAGGCTCACTTCCCATCAGTTCCCACATACTCTGGAGTTCAGAGTTTTTACGACATTTTTGTTTAGTAGTTCGTTTGTCTAAACCATCCCAATCGAAAACACACGTCAAAGTCGTGGGCGCAAATTCAATTCCAGCTGCTCTCATGTTTACGATGTATGTCATTCATGGACGCAATCAGATTCACCCACTCATCTTCCCCACTTGCCCCGAATCATATGAATGAGAAGTTTTTCCCGTTATCACATCAACCCTCCTGCTTACCTGATACCTGACTTCAATTGCTTCGGCAGCGTCAAACGTACCAGAATTCAGCCTTACAACTTTCATCGTCTTCACTCAAAGAATTTCTGGGCCTGAAAAATATCTTGGTCCCCAGAGGGGTTTGCCTCCCTTTACGTCCGCCACGTCCTCGAGGACACCTACTACGTTCCTTCACTTATTGTGCTCATATTGCATCTTACTTAATCCCTAGATTGGAGATTAATCTCTCCTCCGAGAAGTTTGGTCGAGAGCACAGCGAACTCCGTTGACTCAAAATTCTTGCCGTCTCTGACCCTGGATGGACTTAGGGCGGGCATTCTTAGGTAGGGGCGCTCCTGTGTTCCGTAAGCATTCGACGTTTCTACAAAGGAATTCGTCGATTCACCGGTTTCTTCGGTATCTTCCCAGCATGTACCGTCTGAAGTACCATATCCCCAAAGGAAGTGGGTTCTTGGCCAGAAAACCTCTGTTTCACTCTCAGCTATGACTAAACCTATTGCTCTGAATGTGGCCTAGCCAAATGTCCTACCGGCATTTACTTTTTTTGAGCCCATCTGTTTGAAAAGGACAGCTTCGTGAAGCCAATTGGGCCAAGTAAAAAATCTTGGCTGAATAGATGAGATGCTATGAGTAACAACAACTTAATGACTGTTGGTAGCCGTTTCCTAGCGACCGCTACCGCACATTTTTCATCGGAAATTGCCAAACGCTGGAGAAGTATAATGGGTCTGACAGGACGGGGGTATTATGTAGAAATCAGGTACCTAGGGCTACCAGCTTTTAGTGCAGGCACACTTCTGTGAAATTAAGGGAGACAGCCCAGCTATTAGGCTATACCAGAAGAAATGAAGGCAAAGTGGATAAAGTGCTCCTCATAGACCAGTCCACTTGGGACGGACTGCACTCTGCCGTAGAGGATCGCATTTGACTCCGTGCAAGCCCGCTAGTACGACTGTTTGCGGGGGTAGCACTGCTTCCAGCTTATTCACTCCAACATCCCTGCCAGTTATTTATCGACCCTTGTTTACAGTCTGTTTATTCCTGGCAAAAATCGAACGCACAGGTTGCGCTGACCCAATGAAGTGTTTGGTTCCACAGCGGAACCCATAGAAATTCCCGGAATCTTGTTATCTATGAGACCGATTTTTCCAGCTTTCGAGCTCGTCCGATTGAGGATTCCCTGTTGGTCACCCTACCTCTTGTGAGAGTGAACTTGTGGTCGCAGGTAGAAATGATTTCACCACTACACTACTCCCTTGTATTTCAACCTGAGTTTCCATGCCGCGCCAATCTGCTGGAGCGCTCCATGCCACAATGCTGGCTCATCGAAATTCTCTGAAAGTCTAGCCTTCTGAAAGGCTGAATCAACTCTTTCCCGAGCTCATCCAGCTCGGAAATCACTTGCGACTAAACCTACTTCAAATGTAGTCAAACTTGCAACCGTGCGGCCTATACTTTATCTATCACCACTGCACTACTTCTCCAGACGGGTTACTTCGATAATCGCATTAATCTTCAATCTCAGTAAGAGATTATTGGTGCTCTCAAACATTAGGCTAATCCTTAGTCAATTACTTACCGTCTCTTGACCACAACCTAATTTATGATCAGTAGAGAGAGGGTGTCTAATTAACTCACTCACATTGATGGCAGAAAAAGCCTGGGAGGGTTCCGTTCAGTGGGCGTGGCCAATAATGAGGTACAAATGTTTGCATTTTCCACACATTCACTCACTTTTCTCAGTTTGTAAAACTGAAACCTCTAGATTAGGCCATCGAGCGGTCCTATAGCTTAATTTGGCGACATGCCAAGGCGATCACACCATTCACTTACACCCAAGTTCGTCTCCCGAACTTCATTCATTCGTTTATTTTTACGGAATTGGCTGTCCTCGCGTGACATTGGAATATGAGGTCCAAAAGAAATGAAAATTATCTTACAAATCGAGAATGCCTTGTCTCGATCTCCTTGTCCCTTCCCCTGCCTCCGCTCCTGAGCCGTTATCAGTTCGTGTGAACAAACTTTCTCGAAACCAACTTCTTGACGACCCTTTGATTCCTAGTCCTTTCAAGTTACAAATCAGATCAGTTGTACAATACTGTATTTTTCGTTTCAGGAACTTCCCTCCACTACCAAGAATAACCACTCGGCGTCTTTACGAAGAATGCAATTTTTGAGCTCGAGTACCACTACCGTCATAGCCGCTAGGTATTTTTTCAGCAGGGTCGCCCCTTAACTTTGGTAGCTTTGTGGAAAAAATTATTCTGAGAGTGAATTGAAGTATTCACAAAAAAAAATCATCTTGAAATTGATTTCCAAAAAGGATTTTAGAGCAATGGAACAGTTACAAATCTAAATCTGTTACGATTTTTTTTATTCGAAAACATCCGCGAATTCTAGAAGCTTCGACGATGCTCGCAGTATTGCTGACCTGCAGCTTAAGCCGTTGTCAAGAGCAAAAAGTCATTCGCCATTGAAACAAATGCGAACCTACTCGTACCGGTCGTTGAGTAGCGAGGAAAACGCTTTGGACAAAACAGTAAGTACATTCTTACATGAGTTGGCATAGCATAGCCTAAAATCTCTAAGCCTCTAACCCCTGGAATGCTCGTTCTTGAAACCCAACCAATAATTTATAGAATTTAAATATGAACAGACATAATAGGGAAACTTCATTTACAGTAAACATTTAATGAAAGCTCTGCGTCTCTGCCGTTTGACCCTGCTTCTATGCGCGCAATCCTGTCTCACTTCGTTTGGGAGGTCCCCAAAAATTACTTCCCGAGTAGAAACATTTAACAACTCCCAAGAGGTACAAATTGATGAGTGAGGTTGTTCCAATACTTTTTACGTTTTTATCCATCCTTCGATGGAGGATGGGGAAGACTTTGCCCCTAACCGAACGTGAGCTTCCTAGGTTCATAACCCCCTGCGAAATAGGATAATACTTAGCTAAAAATATTAAGCATAAAAGTCCTTCATGATCACCAGTGGGGTTTGAATTTTGAGAAAAATTCCAAGCTACAAAGCTTTCAAGCTTCAGCTTTCATTGTATCAAGTCACCAAATTTGGTTTGAACTTTTGAAAATTAAGGTCTTAACTGAATAAGGACTTTTCCTTTCATTCCTTTAGAGACCCAAAAGGGCAAAGAACTCTGTGAGAGTTTTTATTGTCAATCAGAGGATTGTGCGATTTATTTGCCTGGAAATGGCACATTAAGAAACCTATTGAAAGGGAAATGGTCATTCAGCGTCACATAAAGGCCCTTGGTGCATGTGTACTCATAGTAGCTTTTTTCGAAAGGGGACTGAAAAAAGTAAATGAAGGATTTTTTCTAAATTGCCCGCTTTAATTGAACTTTGTTGATATTTTGTTTTGTTGTCATCGATGATGCATATTGTGTATATGTTCAGTGAATGAATAAATAAACATTTAGGCCTGTGAACTCATCAAGAATTCCTGGCACGAAGCCACTAAGAACGCCAGCACCACGGGACGTCATTTTGGCTATTTCGTCTTTCAACGCATCTTCCAGAAGGATCCAACGTTGAAAGTGACGTTCGGCCTGAAAATAGTGAGTGTTTTTTTTTCGAACTTCGAGCATTTTTTCCATCTGGAGTGCTTCCCATGGTTAAAGGCGAATATGTGCCATTAGGTTCTTTCTAACCGACGTTAGCGACTGAGTGGTTTCTTTCAAATGTCTCTGAAAAGCTGCTGATGATTGGGCTGAGTGGGATGAGCGGCAAATTCGCTTGGGAACGAATCAGTGTTGATATTTGTCATCCTTCGGCATTGTCATTGCTATGGCGCATCCATTCGATCTTTGAGCCCCGGTAACATCTGGGACTGGGCAACCTTATACCCTGGCAGGCACACTTCAACTGATAGTTCTCTTCTCTCTAGCGTTTTTGCAGCATACAGCCCATGACGTCTCCCCTATATGTAGCATAAACAGCCTAATTAGGCCAGTACCGGTTACTTGTACTTTCGAAGTACTCGTGGCAGTTATGCATGCCCATAGTATTTAATGAGTGCATCCGTGGAATTGCACATATGTGCATGAATGAAAAATTGAGGTAGTTGATCGTTGAGTTCCCAGTAGGCAGAGCTCAAGGAACACGTGAGCTGAAATACCCTTCCAATGCCCAGGTCAGAAGAGGAATCTGTGCCTGTTCGGGGAAGGAGTCCGTGCCAGGTTGGTGGAGGATTTGTGCCGGGTCATGAGATGGGATTTCGAAGTGGCAGAGGTCGAGCAGTAGCACAAACTCTTTCGACTGCTTTGGGTGTCAAATAGAACTCCGAGCTTCTCCTTGTCCCACCAATACCAGCTTGAATGACTGAATACTTCCTGACAGGCGTTAGGCGTGGAAAGGGGTCTAATTTAGGTACAATTCAGGGCCATTACTTAAAACATGATATTTTCAGGACGATGATATTGCCGAGATTCCTGATGATCACGAATGTATCCGACATTCGAAAATATTCACGAATATTATTCACTTAGCAGCAAAAAATGTCGACGAACTTGAACCACAAGTGGCACCTGCGATTTTCAAATACGGCGAACGTCATTACAACACAAGAGCTGTGAGTTTCCCGATGTACAGAAATTGTTACGAAATGGGGTATGAAGAGTCACAAGGTAAGGGACGGGAAACGCAACACTCGAGCGCGCGTTCGCGATGCGTTCTGTTCTTAGCGGCACCGCCTAACTGTAAGGTGGCTAGTACGCGACGCTGAAGTTTCTGAGCTTGATGGGCGCCAGTGAAGCGTTGAGTAAAGAGAGAAAGTGACTAATTACCAAATTTCTTGCAAATTTTCATTGTCTCACCCATTACGCCCTCCTTGTCCCTCCGATGGTCTACAAAAATGGCCTAAGATTTGTCTAAAGTTTAAAAAACGGATATAAGGCGAAGACAAATAAAAGTTGGTCAGTTTCGTTTATGGTTCACGATATCGATTGATTCAGAGTGATCGCATGACCGAAGAAAATGTGCGGATGGTTTGTGCCCAAGTTGTGTGCACGGTATGTGACCTGCTTGGTGATGATGCTCATCCGAAAATTGTCGAAGCGTGGATTGAAATGATGAGGTAAAAATCGTCTCTAATTTTTCTTACTTTAATAAAAGAACCGTGCAATTTTCGCAAACACGCGGTTGGTCGCAGTTCTTTTGGCCCCGCCCATTTTTATAACCCAAGTCGATTCCCTTTTCAGATACCTCGGTCGCAAGTTACTCGATGGACACGAGTACGCTAAACTTACTGCCAAACATCGCATCAGCATCAATCGTAACGACCACCATCTGTTCCTGATGTTGTGATCCGCGCTATCGATTTATCGATCGATAGGAGATGATGGCTGATCACTTGTCGTCAGGGCAAGTTGTAGCATATGTATAACATGTGTAGAAACGTTTTATCCCCTGGCAACGATGGGGCGGTCCTTAGGGAACTCTGTAATTTAGAACTTTTCCCACATGCTTCCTGTAGATCGAAATCAATACTTTTTAATATCGATTTTCTCTTTGTAAGTATTTCGATTGCGACTTCACATCATTCTGCTCATTTATTTTTATTGATAATGATCTACCGAACAATATTCACCGGTATAATCTGCTGATTCCGAAAATTATTCGTAATTATCACAAATAATTATTGCGTATACATATGTAAGGCGTACTCGGAGGTGTCACCGTCACCGTTTCCTTCAATTCTTGTTAGGAACCGTAGCAGGATTTGGAGAAATTCACGTTCATATAGTATGAAGCTCCACATATGGGCTGGTCGACCTGCATAGGAGCGTGGTGAGACGCCCTGCCCACTATGCAGGTGGAGAAAGCTCCGCCTACTATTTATGTTAGAGCATATAAAACAACTTCACCAAACGTTTTACAATAATTTATCGGTATGAGGATGGTGAAGGTGACACTTTACATTTAGCCGTATCATCTTGTATATTATAGGAGAATGGCGTTGTTTGGTCAGCATACCATCCATGAACGCATATTTTATGTGAATTTCGCCCTAAATTCTTGAATTTATTTGTGAAATGGCGTCATTTCCTTGATTTTTCGTGGTGACCTCTGGTATTCATCCGATCTCTTACGATATTCACATGTTCGGCTGCCATTCGCAGTGTGGCGATAAGCTGTGATACATGTATTTTGTACTTTTTTCTCGATTTTTTATTGATGTCGTATGAATAGTAGCTTTCTGAGAATGAATATTCTTAATGTATCCGAAGAATTGGGGCTGAATAGCTCCGGAGAAACCTAAACGTACACTTGGCAAAAAAATAATTTTTATATTTCCTCCTAGAAGGAATTTTAAGAAAGGGTCTGGATTGGGCGCACAAAGGGCTCAAATATCACGTTCACTGGATGCCACACACAGAAATGGACGAGTTTCCGCAATTCGGCTCTACGTACCAAGCTTTCCATGCATGTGCGACAACTGTAATCTCGTCCAAATATCCCTTTCATAGCTTTCCCATGATGGTAACTGATCCAAGGCCTACTTTCACTACTTTTGGAAGCCTTAAATTTCACGAATCCCGCCAATTTTCCCGATTTCTTCACCGCCGACACGCTATTCCCCGCCAATACTTCCGCTTTTCAACTTAGAGGGTACTTCAAAACTATCGGTTAGGGTGCCTATGGGCAACAGTGGGACCAGGGGTGTTTGGGTATACGTATGTAGAAGCTTCCGAACTCCAAGCACTCGGTAACGCCACTCGTGAACTACACTTGTACCCTCTCTTCTTAAGAAGTTTCCCTTCACGGAGTGCATATTAACACATAATATGCCCTTATCCAAACTTATGTTCACGTTCGAACCCAACCCATCTGGGTATTTATGCGATCAACCAGGTTTCTAAACTTTTTGCTGACTTCTTGTTGTGGATGATCGTCTTAAACTATACCCTCGGTTTTCTGAACCGCACCCAGACTGCCGTACCAGCACAACCTATTTTTATATGGCCTACGATGCTCATTCTTCAGTCTTGGCAGTCCAAACTATATAGATTAGTTAGGAAATACGTTCTTCTTAGACTCCTNGCAAGTTGTAGCATATGTATAACATGTGTAGAAACGTTGTATCCTCCTTAGGGAACTCTGTAATTTAGAACTTTTCCCACATNAGACAGACAGACAGACAGACGAAGCGCTTTATAGTAAGTAGGATAGCCTTTTTCAAGTTCATCGCAGTTTCTCAAAGCAGTTGAAAGTCTTACGGAGTAACCTGGACCAGAACAACTCAGAGTTCTGTTATAACCGAAGCTAGTTCAGACTGGAAACCCAAGCCCTTCAGAGTGGAAGGGATCGAATCTCAACAATTAGTTAGCAATCAGTCTCAGCTAGATCACCGATGGTTTGCGGTTGGGCATCAGTCTTTCGATTTTTGAAGTGGGAGTTTCTTCCTGTATATGGGGGCCGTTCGAAGGCATTCGCTGTATCTGACCCATTTCCTCCTGTTTTTCGATTTTCAACTGTTCTACAAATCTACGTCATTCACCCGACACCACCACTGCTGTACATTTCTCTGTCCTCTCTCGCTTAAAGATTAACCCTAATCAAACCGCATCAGATACGGTGCAGCCGGACAAGGTAGGGAATAGTCCGGATTTCGTGTGTATAAGCATCGGTTGGTTAGAAGGCGAGCAGTAGATAACCAACCAGGCTTGCAGAGGATGGTACGATCAAGCTGCAGCGGTGACGTTGAAGATGGTAGTTTGGTGGTAGTTGGAGAACATCGAAGACTGGTTTCGGAAGTAGCTATGAGGAACTTTGAAAACCCTCCGAATCTTATAACTCCTTATCCATATTCTCATTAATCCATGTTCCAGAAGCAAACTTCAAATTTGATGGTCCCAATAGGCTTTCAGTATCAACATTGTGCACAGATAACTAAGCTCCACAAATTTTCCTCATCGTTAAGAACCGTTCTTCACCGTAAAGAACTGCTTTTGGATTTATAGACCATTGTAGGTCAGCATCGGATGCCTTTCACCCCCACCTTGACCTGTGCACACCAGCAATTTGTAATTATCTGTTCTCTCTCACTCACTGATTTTTAAGATATTGAGCAGCACAAGGTACGGTACTCCGGCGGTCCGATGGCCGGCGTCCACTTCGGCTCAGTGGGGCCGATCCCATAATCCCTCCAATGGAGGGTTATGGGATCGGTCCCCACTGAGCCGATGTGGACGCCGGCCATCGGACAGCTCGGAGGAGTCGAGTTGGTAACGGCCCTTGGGAGCGCTTTGTGAGATACTGCAGCACCGTTCCGGCAGGTCGAAGGACGGTGCAGCGGTTAGGTATTTCGCCTGCAACTCACGGAACCGTAGTTTCGGTTCTTTGAGGAGCCTGCTATAACGTTCTTTTTGGCATAAAGGCTTACTCTTCGAGGTGTGCGAATTTCCTGGACCTGACTTTGCCCCAAAAATGGTGTTTCGCATCTTTTGCTAGCTATATCCGATTGATAAATGCACGACGGTTCGCTCAACCCACCCTCGCAGAGAGGTCCCTTCCTAAGGTTGTATAATAGATCCTGAATCGGAAAATCGTCCCATTTATTCACACATCTCCTTGCACTGTGGTGATACCTTATCGAAAATTAGGACATTTTCGGCCCAAACTTCCCAAGCAGTGTAAGGAGCGCCCTTGCAGCTCCTCTCTGGAGTACAGGAATACATGGCTTTTCCTCCCTCCCCATCTCCGATTACGTCATTGTTATGAAAAGATTCAGAAGAATGCACTTCTCATGCCCACATGCTCACATAAAGGGCATGAGAAAGCATTGTTTTTCACTACCCACCACTTCCTCCTCCCCCACTCCTTAATGAAGACGTTAATGTTGTTAATTCAACACTTAAGTACTATGCCCCCGAACTTGAGACCCTTCCCTCGCATCCCGTTGTTCCGGGAATTCATCGACGGCAATTTGGTCCGTAGTCAAGGTACTGAACGTTTGAAAGGTCAGTTGGCCCATGACGAATATCTGCAATATTGTTCAAATACGAAAGGGAACAGAAAGTTGGTTTCTTTGGGTCACTCCGTTAGCTTCTCGTATGGAAATCAGAGGAATCTTGGGTTTAGAAGAGTTTGTGAACAATTTCTGAGGCACTTCTCTTCTCTTCCTGTTGTGCCTGAGCGTTCTAACCTCTGTTTTGCTGATGTATTTACAAAAAAGTGTTTTGATGATCTGCTTGAACAACAATTGGGAACAACAAAGGAACATACTGTTCAACGATATCGATCACCAAAGAGCGACTTACCTTTGACCTGGTCTCGGGGCCTCTAAATATGCCATATCTTCATGCAAGTTTGGTATTTCTGTCCAATAAGTCCCAAGAAGTCAAGGAACATAACCCATTTGAAATGAAGTTTATGTGAATGCCATCTATATAATTGCGTCACGGATTACATATGTAGTACGGACGCTGGGACCCGAACAGGTAGGTTTTTAGACTGGCTTCAGGAAGATTCAGTGACAGAAGAAGAATTGCGGTCACAAGGAAGGTTGTTTACCGGTAACCATTGTTTACTGTTAGAGAAAACGAGTAACTTTCAGCTTCCTCTTCCAGCAATCTCTTTCGGATTACTACGTCAGTGAGACGGCGAAAGAGGGGAGGTAGATGAGGAACTGGGCCTTCATTTAAGTTTTATTCTTATCAGAATCCTGGAAGATATTCAGATCTTTTCAGAAGCACTGATATCCATTAACTTTTCGGAATTCTTTCGGTTAGACAGGCAGGTTCGGGAAGAAATATCAAGTTAGCCATTCCTGAATGATGCAGAAAGCCGCGATCAGCAATGGTTCGGAACCACTACAGGGAACCAAAACTACGACCCCGTGTACTACAGGCAAAACACGAATCCGTTGCACCACCCTGTTACCAGGATGGGGAGTACCGCAGTGCCTCACAAGGCACTTTCAGGGCCGGCACCAACTCGTCTCATCCGAGCTGTCCGATGGCCGGCGTCCCCTTCGGCTCAGTGGGACCGAACCCATAACCCTCCAATGGAGGGATTATGGGTTCGGCCCCACTGAACCGAAGTGGACGCCGGCCATCGGACCGCCGGAGTAACGTACCTTTTGCTGCTCATTATCGTTAAAATCAGTGTGTGAGAGAGAACAGACAATTGTAAACTGCTGGAGGGTGGGGTAGGTCAAGATGGGGAAAGGCATCCAATGTTAACTCAATAGACTAAAACTCCAGAAGCGGCTCTTCACGGTGAACAACGATTCTTAACGATGAGGAAAAGTGGTGGAGCTTAGTAATGCGAGGGTAGAGGAGAGATAAGTGTGTAGGAGGCAT